GAGATATTGGGAGTGTATGAAGAGATCTTATATGACCGTACGTTACCAGAAGTGTTGTATATGTTACAGACAAAGTACATTCTATAGAATGCCCGTAAATGTGTTAGGCAAAGTATAGAATAAAGATATTTGTTAAAATAACCATTTATTTAATATGATTTATTTATTTTCTGTATGGTTTGGTTAGGTTGGTTAGCTTTAGTTAGTTTTTTTTTATTGACTAATGCCAAAAAAGGAGTCAAAAGTCGAAAAAAACCCTTTAGAAGAATTAAATCTTGTTTATGGTTAGGTTAGGTTAGGTTATTTTCGATTAGATAAATTAATGCCAAACAAGGATAAAAAAGTCAGAAAAAGGTCCCACTACAGCGTATTTTATACTTTGCCAACAGGAATTTTATAGAATGACTAGGCAACCATTTCATACTTTGCCTGGTTCATTTTAGGCATCGTATAGAATGCCTGATTACTTTGCCTGTAACATATACACCTCTGAGAGACCCAAGTCCACCAGTGATACATTAGTGTGTCGCGTGCGTCCAGGCCAGACCAGTCCTTCAACAGTGTTGCATAATCTCGAGACCAGCAGAAATACCCGTTTGATAGTGATTGTACAATATTTGTGCTGCAGCCCGGATTCTAAATAGGCCCGGTCCGAATTCTCTTTTTCTAGTCACTTTTGAACTCGAAATATTTGGGTTACACGTTTTGGATGTAGATAGTCAGTTTAGCATAGTTCCTTTCTATAGTGGAGCTGTGACACTGATTTTGTGGGCTTATTAAGTTTGGTTTTTATATAGGTTCGTATGAAGTTAGAGTGTAGGGTGCATGTTTCTAAAGTTTTGTGTTAGAATGAAAAATCTAACTCTTAAAAACCATTAATGGCCTTCATTTAAAAACCTGTTATAATGTATTCAGTTTTGTGTGCAATTCAAAATGTATGCTATAAAGTATTAGAATCAAAATTTCAGTCTGCATCCATCTAAAATTCTTGATGCGAATTTAAAAATTTTGTATAAAAAATCGCACATTAAACAACATAAAATGCACGTTGTAAAATACATTAAATTAAGATGGAGGTAAGTGACAGAATGTTTTTAAAATAGGGTGCACTCTTGAAAATTGGTAGCTTGTCTAAACATGAGGAACCTTCTACTTTAGGTTCTCCTACTATGGTACAAGCACAAAGAGTCGTGAATAAATTATCAAATTGCGAATTTCAAGAACCTTACGAAATTTTTAAAGGAGAATCTCCTTTTGAATGTTGATTATTAAGTTAAATTAAAAGAAAGGAAATTTTATATGATAAGGGGACATTTTAACAAACGAAGCAAATCAAAAAATCAATGTAATAAAACCCGACAGCCTTATAACAGTCTAGAGCTGCCCGGCCTTCAGTACGTCCTGAAAAAGTGACACTCACCTTATCACTGTATCAGCAAAAACATTGATGAAAAAATCACCAGTCCGATCGTAAGTAAAGTCAGTAAATATTTGATGGTGTACCCAGCTGTTCCTGAAAATTGGGCTTTAATTTCCTGGCTGATGAAACAGCTGTTCTTAGTCAGTAACAAAGCTACACAGATCTCACACCATTCTACACTCATCCCTCACTCATCATTTGGGTTATACAGGGTGTTTTTTTAAAAACTTGCATCTTTATTTATGTAAAAACCGCAATAGATAGAAATATGCAGTTTGCAGTAATCATCTATTGACGTAGGGGGACCAATTGTTTTGAATTCAACGTTACATTCACATTCCCCCCCTTTCCCCCCCTGCCCCCAACTTAATTTTTTTAAATAGCAAGGTACCCCTTGTGACATATCAAATTAAAGAGCATGAAAAAAGAAAATGTTTGATGAAAAAAAATTGAAAATCGGTTCATAAATTTGTCAGATATTCCCCCCCTTACCCCCCCGGAACTTAATTTTTTTTAAATAGCAAAGTACCCCTTGTGACATATCAAATGAAAGAGCATAAAAAAAGAAAAATTTTGGTGAAATTTATTTTTCATTTGATATGTCACAAGGGCGGGTACCTTGCTATTAAAAAAACAAGTTATGGGTAGGGGAAAAGGGGGGGTGATTATCTCATAAATTCATAAGCCGATTTTAATTTTTTTTTCACCAAAAATTTTCTTTTTTCATGCTCTTTCATTTGATATGTCACAAGGGGTACTTTGCTATTAAAAAAAATTAAGTTCCGGGGGGGTGAGGGGGGGGAATATCTCACAAATTTATGAACCGATTTTCAATTTTTTTTCATCAAACATTTTCTTTTTTTATGCTCTTTTATTTGATATGTCACAAGGGGTACCTTGCTATTTAAAAAAAATAAGTTGGGGGCAGGGGGGAAAGGGGGGGAATGTGAATGTAACATTGAATTCAAAACAATTGGTCCCCCAACGTCAATAGATGATTCCCGCAAACTGCATATTTCTATCTATTGCGGTTTTTACATAAATAAAGATGCAAGTTTTTAAAAAAACACCCTGTATAATACGCACCTAGGTGGTGTCTTATCTCAGTTGATTTGTTTATGCCCCCCTTCAAATCTTAAGACGCTTGGCTCCAGCCTGGAATCGTTTTACGCATTACTTCAGACTATTTCTAGATGGTCTCAACATTATCACATAGCCTAAAATCCATCCAGGATTGGTGGAACTTTAACCCAGGACCTTTGGGATAAATTTAAAAGCTCCGCACTCTACCACTGGACCAGCTCAATCCTCTACGAATTCAATATTACCAACAGTGGCGGATCAAGGGGATGATTTCGGGGAGGGGGCACCACAGAAAATTGTTGTAAATTTTGAACTGAAAACTCGTGTTTTAGACAATCTAAAGACAAAAACATGATCAATTTTTGCAACTTAAAACCATAGTTTTTTTTTTTTTTTTTTTTTTTTTTTTTTTAATTAGATTTATTTACCAATGTTTCCCTTTGCCCCCCTCCCCTTGGATCCGCCACTGATTACCAAAACAATACAGAAGCCATTCTGCAACAGTGCAGTTTATCGTGTGCGCCGGTCTACTTTCGCGTTGCATAATTTCTCCCTCTCGATTTCGAGCACCGGTTTCGATGTGTGATTAGCGCCGGCGCCGCCTGCCCTCCTATTTGTCTTCTTCCTCACTGATTCACCACCGGAACTTCCGGTCCTAATATCCATTTCACTTTCGTGTTGCTAATGCTGGCGTCTGAATTATGATTGCGACCGCGACCTCCACTGCATGTTCTATCTTCCTGCGATATAACTGTCTTGGCGTGGGTTTCATCAGACTGTGGTGCAACAATGTAGTGTGGTTTGTGGTTTTATTCGACATTTAACTGGGAAAAACCCGGTGTGAGTTTCTTGGTTTCCATCGGGGTGGCCATTACTCTACGGTCGTCGTTCAGCAGATTAACTGTGATGACAGGTTTTAAGCTGAGTGTCAGTTTGAACTTGGTTATTTATTAAGTTTGTAGACCATAGTTGAATCTCAAATAAAAGAGATGCTGTATGTTTAAATTGTTCTAAAACGGTTTTGTTCGTTTGCTTAGGGACAAAACTAAATATAAATAGGTAAAATCTGTTATCCCTTAGCTGTAAACGTGTGAACCACTGAGTCAACATTCTTTTCAGCCAGTGTAATGATTAATACTTTTTGTATTGGTGTATTTGATGTTTATGAGTTAGTACGCCACTATGAAACATATTGTAAACGAAGTGCTGCTAAACTACAATCTATATACAACACACAAGTACCTCCATAATGCATAAAGTACAAAAAATCTAAGAAGATTGATATAAAACAATCAATTGTAAGTGGTATGATTGTTCCTTGGGACTCTCCGCTCACTTGAGTGTCACGAAGTATATTCAAATTGCAATCTTCTTTTCAGCACTTTCACTCTGTTGCAAGAATATGTTTTGTTTAAATCCTTTTGTTTTTAAGTGTAATGACGCAAAAGCTCATCAAATGTGAATAATATCTTCGTTGTATAAGAAGTCGTTTCATCATTAAAAAAAATTAGAACACTACGAATGTAATATATGAGCGTGTAACTTATGTTCTGGAGGGTTGGTTTCCAACCCCCCGATCACCAATGTCATTTTCATGCATTGATCTGGTTGTTCTGAGCTCATATTAAACTGTACATCGCGTCTAGAAAACACAAAAACTGACAAACTCTTACATGAAGAGAACGGTTCGTATTTGTGATATTTCTCTGATATAATATGATAACGATGAAAATACTTTCTGGTGTGTCGATTGATCGTAAGAACATTGGTATTTTATTTCGTAGGCAATTGGCCCTGATGTACAGTATTTTCCTTTTATGGGAGAGTGCTGAAGATCACTCTAGAATGCTCAAAAAAGGAAAAGTCCCATGTGAGTAGAACCAGTATTTGCGATATTTCTCAGAAAGACGTGTAATGTTAATAAAATGTGTTTTCCTACAGTCGCCCGACAAAATGGGCTTCCTTGCACTGATTATAGTACAACAAGTGGCTAATTGCTGCATTTACTTAATTTTGCTGCACTCATTTTTTGCCGCACTCCAATATTTCAACCAAACAAAAAACAGCTTGATTTTATTATAAACTTAATCCGTGTATGCTTGGAAATAGGTTGGTTCAAGGCCACACAAAAAAATTTAGTGTGGCCTTGGTTGGCTACTCATATACTACGATTACGATCAGGTGGTGCAGCGTTTCCCATTTCGTTCAACACTTGGATCCTAACCTGAAAACGTGTTGTATAGTGTTTGAAAGACTAATTATTTATAGTTTATGTTTTATAGTTATTGTAGAGGAAATATAGCATAATGTGTAACGCGAGTGCAAAGTGTCTTTGCTGCACTCTAAAAACTTTCCTCGCGTTCCTCATGCAAACATTTCTCTCATGTGCTGCAAAGTGGCACTTTGCACACTAGTTACACAAATGACTATTTCCGTGTGAATGAGTGTCTGAATATTCAAGACCCTTGACACTGATGCCTGTATGTCCCTGTTCCAGGAGAGTGAACAGCTGACGAGCTCGCTGGAGTCGTCGGACGGCGCCCCCGTGGTGAGGGAGAAGAGGACCATAGGATTTCTTAGACAGCTGTTCCCCACTCTCTCACAGGTAACTGTTAAATCCGTATAGAACAGTACAGGAAAATAGAGAAAGATCAATTTACAACTATAAAATGTCCCCTAAACCATACTATATATTCAGTAACTGTCTTCAGGACTGTTGGTTGTCTACATTGATGCGGAATAACTTAACAGCGCTGCAAACAGTTTTTACACTTAACATATTATGATTTCTTTAATGCGACAATAGTTATTTGTGCAACTAGTGAGCAAATTGAGCAATTGCCTCACTCGAGAGAAATCCTTACTCACGAACTGTAGGCGAGTGAGGAATGGTTTCTCGAGTGAGGCGATTGCACTTTGCACTCGAGTTGCACATTATATTTTTCTTACAGTTACCATAAAACAAATTGGTAAAGAAACGCGCCTTCACGTTGCAAATCTGGAGTGAGACAAAGTAATTAGAGTGAACATTGTCTCACTGATGAGCGAATTGGCCACTTTGTTTTCTCAAATCAGTGAGAGAACATGTACGTTATTAGGTAACTGTAGGAAAAACCTTTTACACACTTCAAAGCTAAATTCCGCTATGTGAAATAATGAAATTCAATCATGAATTTATTTTTCTTTTTACGTACATTTACAGTTTGTACAATCGGTTATAGAACTAAGACAAACACTGAATGGCTTACAATTTTAAAATACAAATTTAGATCATATTACTTATTTAAGCCACATACAAAAGATAATATATATATAGAGAGAGATACCTATATACAATAAAATATGTAGATCTATATTATAGAGTTTTTATATAAAAATGCTTTGTCTGATACTGTAGTTATGAATAAGTTAGAAAAATCAACTGATAAGCCTTATTTTTCGGGCAGAACCGCAAAGATAAATTAATCAAATGAACGTTCCCAAAACAAACCGTTGTTGTTAGATAAATAAATAATTTACGTTTCTATACGGCTGGATTTGAAGTTTATTAATTTGCACAGTAATATAAATAAAATAACACAGTAATAAGTTAGCACTTCTACGCTTAGATGAGCCATAAAAGTGTCTTGGAATAAACTTCGTCACTAGGGGAATTATAAATGGGTACTAGAGGTCGTCCGGTGGTAGAAAATTCGACAAAAATTTGTAATGTACAGACTTCCCTAGTTTCACCCCACGCAATAAATAAAATATGTGATTGAAATTTCTTCAATTTGTTTTGATTTTATATTTATATTTCATTGTTTTTTCGTCACCAGCGTGGCAACAACGCCCATAAGGCCTATGTTATTTATTTTATATTAAAGTGCTTATCTTATATACTAAAAAACTGTTGCAAAACTTATGACAGCTAGCCTGACCTTACTACTGGACCGAATTACACGCGGTTGGTACCAAATTAAAGATATTTACCTGTAGATGTGCAGAGTCCCTTTATAAATTAAAATAGGCTCACAAATAAGCACGAAATATGAATTTTAAATTTTTAAAAATTAACATGGGTCTTATGGGTTGCTATGGTGATGACGAAATAACAACAAAATATAAACAGAAAATCAAAACAAATGGGTATTTACTCAGGGGAGGTACGGAAGAGGCTACGATGACAGCTGTGGGCTTCTTATAAGCTGAGGGAACGCTATTACCGTAACAATACGGTTCGTAGACAACGGCTTCGGTGGTCTAGTGGTTAGCGTGCCGCGCTGGTGTGCTGAAGGTACTGGGTTCGAATCTCGCTGGATGCATTAATTTTTTAACTAAGATTTTTTTCATTATCAGCAAGTTTGGTTGGTTTGGTTCGGTTATGACAGTTTAATTTTATTATTAAGTCATTATAAAATTTTAATTGAGCAATTTCTAGTTTTATTTAATAAACATAATTATTTTTTCTATTACTAATCTTTTTTAAATTATTTAATTATCAGCAAGTTTGGTTAGTTCGGTTAGGTTATGATAGTTTAATTTTATAATTAAAAAATTATAAAATTGAATTTGAGGCATTTATAATTTTATTTTATGAACAGAACTATTTTTGCGAATAGTAAACCTTCATTGCCAAAATGCTCTCTACTACAGCGCTGTTCGCGGAGGAATTTTGAACTAAATGCCTCATTCGTACCTCCCCTAAGTCAGACCCAAACAAATGGAGGACATTCCAATCACATGTTTTATTTACCAGTGTGGGGTGAAAATAGAGAAGTTTGCACAGAACATACTTTTGGTCGATTTTTCGACCACGGGGCGTGCTCTCGTTTTTAGCCTATTTTAATTTATAAAGGGATTCTGCACATCTACAGGAAAATATCTTTCTATGCGTAGATTTTCCCTACGATGCACACGAGCTGAGAAAAAAAGTTTTCAAGAAACATGCTTGCCTATATAGGATAGGAATCGCAATTTGGTTGGAAGAACTTGTTTAACATCTTCACATTGTTCATATAACGGTTTGGTAGATGTGCTTGGAAACCATGTAAAGTGAAAAAAAAGATTTTACTAACGGTTTTGTTGCTATGGGTCGACGTATTTCTAAACTTTAGAGTAGTTTCAAATCCATCAGCAACTTGAAACTAAGATCGTGCGATGCGTGCACAGGTTTTGCAACCAGACTAAAATGTAAAACTTGGATACAATTTAAGAGGATTTATATCTAAAGCCAGTATCAGCCAACAAGAGCTGTCTAGTCCCACACGTGCAGAGGACAACCACCCAACCAGTCCAACTTGCGCAGAGTTGCACAATTATAACGATGTCAACATATTTTGTTGTTGGTTAAGACTGTCTAAATCTGGCCACTTCTGACAAACTCCCGCGGCTTTCACTAAACTCGTAGCTTCTAAACAACTACGAATAATGGATATTATGTTAGGATAATTCATAGCCCATAAGAGAAAAGAAAATTGAAAATGCTATTGGCGTAGGTAACACATACTAAACATAAAAAAATTAGATAAAATCAAACTAATGTTTAAGAGGGTTCCACCCGGTCAATTCAAGATAAACACTTAAATAATGCCACGAGGTTCTTTTTATAGGACCATATTCACGTGGTAACCAGCCGGTGGTGGGTGGAACCCTCTGTTCTTCCCCTTCTGAAAGTGTTGAAAAAAGTGATGTGGAAAAAAGTGTTGAAGTTTACTAATTATTTTATTAATTTAATGTTTTGGACAAACAATAATTCTACTACATAGAATATACTTGCACAATTTAGTCTTAGTGTAGGTAACGATTAACTGTAAAATGTAGAGGTGCGAATCAAAAAGTCCGAATACACCTTTAGATGAACATTTTAGATTCATATATACGTCAAGTATTGTGATAGTACATTTTGTTCATGAATGTTGGGGCGATGTTCAAGGATGTTGTCAGTAGATTTATCATTTAATCATTTATCAACTAGCGTGCTAGGAGCCAGCTGCTGATAGTGATGAATTTGTAGTCATATTGTGTGTACGTTTGTCGTTTGTGATATCACAGTGCGTTAGAACGTTGTGACTATCAAGTCATGTCAGTGATATTCAGTGGTATGTTTTTTTTTCAGAGATGTTCAGTGATATTGTAATATTTTGAGGAGACCCGTGATGTTACAGTCAACTAGAGGTGAAAGAAAGCGAAACTTGCATAGGTTTATCAGAGATTGTGTGCTTTTAGGATGTTGTGAGTAGGTTTGTGATATCGTAGGGGAAGAGGAAGTTGTTATTATCCTAGTAGCATCAGTGATATTGTGATATTAGGATGTTGTGAGTAGGTTTGTGATATCGTAGTGTGCTAAGGTGCCAGAAACCTGTGACTATCCTATCAGCATCAGTGATATTGTGAGTAGGTTTGTGATATCGTAGTGTGCTAAGGTGCCAGGAACCTGTGACTATCCTATCAGCATCAGTGATATTAGGATGTTGTGAGTAGGTTTGTGATATCGTCGTGTGCTAAGGTGCCAGGAATCTGTGACTATCCTATCAGCATCAATGATATTGTGATGTTGTGAGTAGGTTTGTGATATCGTAGTGTGCTAAGGTGCCAAGAACCTGTGACTATCCCATCAGCATCAGTGATTTTGTGATGTTGGGGAATGTTGTGAGTAGGTTGGTGATATCGTAGTGTGCTAAGGTGCCAGAAACCTGTGACTATCCTATCAGCATCAGTGATTTTGTGATGTTGGGGGATGTTGTGAGTAGGTTTGTGATATCGCAGTGTGCTCAGGTGCCAGGAAGAGGAACCTGTGACTAACCTATCAGCATCATGTTGTGAGTAGGTTTGTGATATCGTAGTGTGCTAAGGTGCCAGGAACCTGTGACTATCCTATCAGCATCAGTGATTTTGTGATGTTGGGGGATGTTGTGAGTAGGTTTGTGATATCTCAGTGTGCTGAGGTGCCAGGAAGAGGAACCTGTGAGTATCCAATCAGCATCATGTTGTGAGTAGGTTTGTGATATCGTAGTGTGCTAAGGTGCCAGGAACCTGTGACTATCCTAGTGGTCTCCGTGATGCAACGCCACCTGTTGTTTGGCAACTATACACTTTCATCTACCAAACGCCCGTGTTTCATCAACACGTGCTGTGAGCTTAAGTCCTATCATAGCGATCCTACCATTATAGTGCTACAGCGCTAGAGCTATAGTTCAGATTGCATCCAACAGTTTAGTACTGTACAACATCAAAGAAGAGGCATGTGATTTTTGTAATGGTTAAATACTATTCTCTACATCTGCTTTATATAATAAGTAAGTTTAAGATAGTTATTTTTAAGATGTTATCAGCGTCATTTACCTTGCATTTGTCCGTCCACATGGGCCTCAAGCCCGGGGCTCAAGCATTCGCGTAAGCAAAACAAAGCATAGTTTAAGAACGACCACTTCTAGATAAATTACAATATCTTTCATGACCCCTTAAATCTGGTTTTTTTGCTATTAACTTATATTTATGTAGATGATTTACTAAAAGAATTCGTTTTTAATGTTGGTTATTGTACGAATTTACATTATGTTCAAACTATTTGTTTGCATACTCTATAGTACAATAATATTTTTTCACTGATTTTCTCATTTTTGTTTCTAAGTTTTAAATTGTCTTCACGTGATGACGTTTGAGTGCTCTCTGAAATCGACTAAATGTGTATCTCTTGTTTTAGTGTAGATAGGTTTTAGGACATTAAGGTCCTGATTTAGGTACAAGAAACAAGGAACGATTTTGTCAAGGAACCTGTAACTAACATAATTGATTAATAGTTTGTAACAAGCTTTCAATTATTTTATCCTGTCTTTAGTAGTTTATTTTATTTTTTTACTTGGTTCTATCCAGTTAGTCAATGAAATACGGTTTCTGCAGGCAAATCAGTCAGCGATTCAGCAGAGTCGAAATGTTAATAATACGTTTGCCAAGTCAACGCCCCACCGACTCCGACTAGACACCGGAGCGGGGCGGAGCCCTAGTCACTATCTGGGTCACTTTTTGCGTCCTTGAGCAGTTTGTCCATGTAGATCTCTTTGAGATTATCAATTACACCTTGCCAAGGACTTCCAGGTTGCTGACGTCACGGCAAATCCAGAGAACAAGTGACGTTTTGTTTTCGTTTTTGCATTGGCTGCGACTTGCAGGCCTCATTTGAAGAATAGGATTCGTGCAGATACTTTTTTTTACTCGGAATTTCTCCATTTAATTCATTGAAAGGTGAGAATTTTCAGCTTACTAAGTTGAATAATACAGTTTCAAGGTTATATTACATTTATTTTGAAATCCAGTAGTGTACAATAAACACGCACAACACACTAATAGATTTGTTATCATCTTTGACTAATGGTATTCTTGATCTATTAAACCTCAAAATGATTGACCCTCTTCAACTGATAGGATATTATTTAGGTATTTAAGCTTAACCTGGCATCTAGTAGTTAACGGATTTCCCTATAGGCCTATACAGAGTTGCTTACTATTGTCAGAGGACAAGATGTTATCAAGCCAACAATACTCCTATTTTTGGCACCTGCCATTTACACTGAAGGTCATGTGTAAGCCTCGTGTAAAACTGTATCCGGCAGTACAATAACAGCTAAGAAATGTCGATCTTTAAGGAATTTTTAAGCAAGGTGGTAAACACGTAAACGTTTTGTCAGAATTGATTATCAAAATACGACAAAGAGTGACGTTGGACGGACATGTCCACGGTATACGAGATCAGGTTTACTTTACTGTACTTTTCCTGAAATGTTTTTTGCGGGATAGCAGAGTGGTTGTAGTGTTCACCTGCAAGTAGACTCTCTCTTATCCGGACACCTTTTAATCGGACATCGGTTTAACCGGACTAGATCGGAAGGAAGTGGGCGGTACGGAAACGACTGTTCTCGTGGAAAAGATTTGAGACCAGTGATCACGTGTCTAAATACAATGCTCAACTAAATTTAAGTCAAATACTGTATACAGTATGCATCTAAACGATCCGTTTTAACGAGTCTTTTTGGACGACGGTTTAACCGGAAACCCCGTTATCCGGACTGGCCTCGGTCCCGAGGAGTCCAAATAGAGGGAATCTACTGTAATCAGAATGTTGCAGATCTACCCTGAGAGAGAAAAGTTACTAATCAAAATCAAATCAAAAATTCTTTATTGCCGTATAAAACACAGTAACATGCATGGCTTGAGTCACATTATTCAAATACAATAAATAAAATACAACATTCATATAAGTAACAAACCACTTTACCACCTATTTTTAACATAATTTTCTACAGAATAAAAACGTTTTTCGATTAGAAATATTTTAATTTTTCGTTTGAATAAGCTGGGGATGTCACTTATTGACTTAAGCTTGTTGGGCAGCGAGTTGAACAACATAATTTTTACTAGCTTTTTTATCGTTCGTAACTTGACCCAGATTTCGTAGGATGTATATGATCTTGATCAGTTATAAAAAAGGCAGTTATATTGCGTCTTTTTAAGAAATTGTCTGGGTAGCCGAGTGGTTATAGTGTTCGCCTTCAAATCTAAAGGTTGCTGGTTCGAATCCACGCGAGATCGTTTCCAGACCCAGATGCCATTTGTCATTGGGCTATGAATTAATTAATTATCATATCCATCTATCAAAATGGTCGACGTTAGATAGTAACAAGACCTGGGTTTAGACCGTTCCCTTTCAAAACGTAAAAAATTAGTGGCGTAAAAAACACAAAATACAAAATAGAATAAAAATAAAAAGGGCCACCATTACCGGTTTTTAAACTGCGGAAAACCCACAGTTTAGGTTAGGTGATTTTTGAGTTTTTGTGATTATTTCTGTTCAGTAAATAAAAACTTGTGAGTAAACCTATAGCCTAACCTAACCTAAACTGATGTTATTCCACAGTTAAAAAAGTGGCGGCCCTCGTCTGAAAAAGACCCGTTATATTCGTATATAAAATGGTATTTTAGCTAAAACCACATTTTCCTTATGGCCACGGTATAATTGTAAACACTGGACAGTAGGAACATATAACTGTGTGAAGTGCTACTGCGAAGTGTCCAAACAATCAATTAGACACGGCGGTGTCGACGGTCTAGTTATGATGAGGTTAGGATGACTGGAGAGTTAGGTAACTAGTGTCAACTCAACGCGCAGCATTTCCGTGCACACATGTAACTACTTGGCCACTTTCCCCGCGGGATTGGGGTCGTAGTCGGACCGGGTTTGGTGGTCTTTGCCTTACACTGCCGGCAACGACGAGCTTTGGATGTCTTTGGTTGGTCTTGACCTCTTTCCTGTGGCGCTGAAATTTGAATTTGATGTTGGTTGGTAAACAAAAGAAACTAAATACGTTTTTGTGTGGATTATTTTAAAGAATGTTTTGTTTGAAATTACTAATGAATATTGGTAGTTATCCGTTATGGTTGTAAGAGTCGCATTTGGTAGAGATTAATTAATATTTTAAAAACCCTAATCATTATACAATCTTTTTTTTATTAGCTTTTGTAAGTAACTAAAAAATAAAGTGTATACTGTTTGCATAGTAGTATATTTCATCAGGGCGTAAAGTGACTCTTTTCAACCCGAGTTCAAGTTTCACAAACAAGGCAAAACCACGGTCGAAAATTTGCGAGGGTTGAAAGACACTTTTTGCCCATGTTATGAACAATATTTTTTATCATATTGCACCATTATTTGAACAAAAGTATGTTACAAAAATAAAATAGTTTTCATAGAAAGATAACCTTTCAAAACGACTTCGAACTTCTTTTAAATTTTGCTAAAGCAAACCAGCAGCTATTTGGTAAGTGATTCAATCATTTAGGCTAATGTTGTGTTATCAGTGTACATTATACTTTTGATATGTAAAGCTATTGACAACTAACTATAAGGTACAGCCGATCAATCGATACATAATTTTTATACATGCAATTGCTTACAATTAGAGGTTTACAACAGCTGACTTTTATTCCCTAGGAACTAAAAAGGCTTTTACTACCTAGTCCCTAGGGAGTAAATGGGCTATTTTAGACCGCGCTTTACGGAAATTAGGCTATGAAAACATTTTCTTACTTCCTAAGCCAAATATGAATGCACTTTTAGTAACTGACTTTCGTTAAATTGTTTATAGAGTTTGAAAACAAATCTTATCCATACATCATCTGCATCTCAAATCCTAATCCAAAAACTTGACTCAGGATTTTTTTCTCTTATAATGTGTATACAAATAGTTAAAGGCTCTACTTATTATATCATATTAATTTGCAACAGATTAAATCCTCCACACTGAATTCACATTGTTGTCCATTAATGTAAGCTAAATAGCTTAGCAAAGCACCTTTTAAAGTGACAAGTGATTTAATTGACTCTCCAAAACTGATATTATTACAAAAAGACAATATTTCTATATTCAATATATCAATATTTCTACTATTACTGATCTCTTGACCTCAATGGAACCTTATCCTATTCCAAATCCTGCTAAGGTAAGAATACACTGTCTGCCCAGCCGATGATTATATCTTAGATAGGAACTTTGTCTGTAGATAATTGACAGAAAAATACAATCCATCACAAGGCTACTTTTCCGACTAATCGGTCGGCTGGTGCTGAGAGGAGGCGGCGGAGGTGGAGGAGGGGGCGGAGGTGACTCCTCGGACGACGACAGTGAGAGGAGAGTCCAAATCACTCTCCCCACCTTCCCTCCGTCAGCAGACGACGAAGACGAAGAAGATGAAGACTCGACGGGTTCTGACGACTCCACAACCACCACCACCGAGCCGGTAACCGAAACATTGCTATTGCACTTGGCTAATACATCATCATCACTCCGTCCAACTTCCAATCTTGCATGAAGCTTGTAAACTTTCACTGTACCCAGTGCAGAGTTGTGGTTCAGACTTGTGTTTTATGTGCTAGAACTGGAACAGGAATATCAACAGTTTCTGTGGCTGTATATGCTTTTACGATTGTGTCATGTGTATCCAATCGGCAGATCACAATAATTTCTTTATACATCAGTATTAATTCTTGACAAATTCTTTCAAATGTAATTTTGCATGAAGATTTAAAAAAAATTGTTTAATAAGTTTTTACCATTTATCTGCCTATTGGAGTAAAACCCGAGAATAATTCAACTATTGGATAAAAGTAAAATGTTCACGATATCACAAATCTTTTATCTGACTGTTATTTTTTATGTGCTTGTGTATAACAACTTTTGACATTGTATTCTAAGCTTTGTGACTATAAATCAGGCAAAATATGCATTTATAGAGTGCATTTAAGTTATGCATTGGAATGAGCATGAGGGCCACATCTCATACGATTGACAGTTATGAGACTGGTGTTTTTGCACGTCATTTAACTCGACTTACATATTATTTGTAGTTCCATTGTTAATATTTTATGTGGTTAAGACATCGCTATTTGCCTGCTTTGTAGACTAATTGTCATTCTGTGATTGTCAATAACTAACTAAGGGTTTCTATACTTCAACAATCTGTCTTTAATATTATTTATCTTCATATAATCTTGATTTAAAGTATTTATTTACTGTTTGCAGTTTGATCAGTTATTTTAGAACAATTTAAGTAATGTTCTTTACATAGGCATCTAGCGTTGTAAGACTTCAGAATCAAAAGAGCCAAAATTATTGAACAAAAAAATGGTCCATATTCGTCTTTAATTTAGATTGAATCTGGATACAACACATGGGTTTGGATCACTTTCTTTAAAAGTGTTATTTCAGTACACACTGTACATTGTCTCTCTTCTAAAAATGCCACTGTTGTCAAAATTAAGAAGAAAAAAACACTGTGAAAAACAAATAACTTTGTTCTCTCTAAAGGAAATTTTGATCAGTTTCTTGCTCAATGAGAGCTTTAGAGGAATATTTTTACAAATAACTGTACTATTTATTCATTTAAACCCCCCCCCCATGCATTCCAAGTGCCTCCCCTACTTCTAATTGAATAGGCTATCACCACCAGTCCAGAAACCAGGATTGACTGAAGGATTGTTCAGAAAGATCATGCAAAAATGTAGATGGTTTAAGTCCATAAACATTGATGAAGTATTTATAGACACTTTTTCTTCAAATAAAAAAAAAAAACACACAGTATATTATGTTTATTAGCTCCATATCGGGGATTAATATGAGATTATAAGGGGGCTCTGTGTTTTCACAAATAACATTATAGAATTCACATAAATTATATTGTGCAATATAAAAATCATTAGATAATTTCTTTAGTATAAATTCCATTAAGTGATGACAAAAACAGCTGAGACAAAAATGTATTCCTTGAGTCACCCAGTTATATATTGTTACTGGACTTATATGTAATGGCGTAGTATAAAATTTCCCTATGATTGTTCTGGTGGCCTAGCGGAACAAACAGTTCCATACTCAAACTTAAACTCAATTACCACTTTCCTTCAAATCACTTTGCAGGAAAACCAACACATTATTCAGTTAATTAGTTGTAAAAAAAGTTATTAAATTCACTTTTACTTGTTTGGAATTGTGTGTTCATAAACAGGAACTCCTATATAATAATAATTACTACTGAAGGTGAGGTTATAAAAATAATAACAAATGTCTCACAGCTGACAAACATTAAACAGCTGACAAATGATTTATAATTATAACTGAATTTTATATTCTTCAATAAGAATTGTACTGAGTTGACCTTTGAAGGGCTGTAGGTCGTAGTCCTTATAAAAACTTAAATTCTAAGAAAATTCGGAAAATTTACGCATTATCCTCTTTAATTAAACATATAAATCTTGTAGATTGGTCCAGTAGTCACTGAGAAAACAGACTTACAACTGTTTATTAAATTTATAAAAAAAATACTAGTGTTATTTTGACTGGAAAATATTGCAATTGATGGTAAATCAACCTAACATTTATTGTTGCAATACAAATCAAAATTTATCTAAAGTAACATACCTCTATATTCATCTGTATGTATGGCCTTATGACATCCAGTAGTGAACTTGACATAGTGCAGTTTAGTTCATTTTTTATGTACCTCAACAGTTTCATTGGCAGTAAACTGAACATAACATCATAGACAAAAGAATTAAATATAGAACGATAGTAGTGCTGCGGTGCGGTTAGCATATATTCTGGCATCCACCGCTAGGAGTGCCGTGTAGTTTTGAGCATTGCCATGAAAAGTTAGTAGTTGGAGCCAGGGTTGCCAACTTCTGGAGAATTCCCTGGAATCTGGGGAGTAGGAGTTTTTTTCCGTGTTTTTTTTTAATTTCCATGGATTAAAAAAAAAATTGCATTTTCCTGTAATATTACGAGATTTTAGAATTTTGAACTTTACCCATATTGAAAGGTGGCACTGATACATTTGTAGCATTTTGTTTGCAAGGGTTGTAGTGCTGGTAGAAAAATGTTGAGGAATCGACGAACACTGAGCTGTAGCGGCACATTGCGGAAGCTTCCTTTGCCAGTCTATATTTAATTATTTTGTCTATGATAATATATTTACAGTGTGGTAAATGTAGGATTAGTTCGAGAACATTTTGACTTTTTGAAAAAAAAAATGATTGAAGTATATAAACTCTATATAGCTTTATTCATATTTGTATTATGTGTTTTACTTGATTAAATGTAAAGTTCTTCACTGATGTGTTGTACAAAACCGTTTTTTATGAAATTTGTAAAGTAATTTTTATTTATTTTATATTAAGCAAAATATGTAATATTTGTACAGACTGTTATCAACTTGATCCTGCTTTTAATCTTTTCAGTGATATTGATTAATTTTAATGATAATTTTTGAAATGTTAGATTATTGTCACTGAGACAATTTGTTTAATAATTACTTTTGGTTTTGTTTACATTTTGATCAATTTACTGCAAAAAAGGTAAATTGGCATTCATTAGAGTTAAAGAGATAGTGTATAAGTTAGGATGGTTTGTAGTAATTTAGAGACTTAGATCTGTGTAGTAAGGATGTCTTTATTAAAACAATGAATATCTTTTTATGTAGAGCAACCTTAATATACTTAAAAAGACAATTTAAGTATTGTGAAATGTATTTTAAATTGAAGTTTGATGGTTGTTGTTTTTTCACAATAAAGAATTTAACCATAGAAAATAGAATAAATATAGACTGTCAAAGGAAGGTTCCGGCGCCCACCGCTAGGTTTGCCGTGTAGTTACGGCGCACACCGCTGCAGGCCAGGAGCCGTATGCGACCAGCAGACGCTGCAGCGGTGTGCGCCGTAACTACAAGAAAAACCTAGCGGTGAACTCCAGAACTTATGCTAACCGCAGCACAGCTGACGGTCTATATTTATTCTATTTGTCTATGATTTAACCAACCAGTAGGTTAACCACTATTTACAATGGCTTTCTTAAGATATTTTATTACCTGAATATTAAATTTGGTACATTGTGCAAATTGACCTATCTATAAGTCAAAAGCATTATTTTTCAATGTCAATAGACGCTTGCAAGATGAAGGGGTCTAAGTACATATGATAAGCACATTATGAGGTACTTACGACTTCATTTGCAAGCGAAGATATGTTTGAACTGCAAATAGGACTTAATATAGATTACTGATTAATCCATAGTGTCAATAACGATACAGTTAAGTTTTTAATACTTTGAAAAAATCAGAAGCAATTAGTCATTTGAATCTACAATTTTGGATTTTAAAATAATTAATTTTTCATAAACAATTAGGTCAGTTTCTTTCAAATCACAGAACAAATTATTGGTGATCTATTTTTCAAATCCTAACGATATTGGCTAAAGATAAAACATTTGTTGGTTTTATAGACTCGTACAGACTCTACTGTTCTACATTTTAGTACGAGTGCTATTATGTGGCCTCTACACATGATTATTTTGTACAATTTTGATAAATGTAATGAGAGTTTTAGTAACATTTTTTTCCTGTTTTGTTCCTCAAGAGTGCTGATGAGAATGCAGTTGCGGAGTCCAAGGTAGCTCCCGTGATCGTGAGGAAGACAAGGCAAGCTCCTGCCGCCGCTGCTGAAGAAGAAGAAGAGTATGAGGACGATGATCTAGGCGTTGCTGCGTCCAATGGTGAGTGTACTTTAACGCAACAACACTCAAGCAATTTAATTTTTTATTAAAAAGGAAGATAATTGAATTGGCCTCTCACATGTGCTATAGTCTAAAACTATATTTTCTCTCTGTTTTGCTTGGTTAAAACGTTGGCATTGTAGTATACAGAAATCTGTAATTTATACAAGCATATTTGGCGGTAGACAATTCATATATGTTCATTTTTATTAAAATGAAAATGGAATTTCTAGTCTTGCCCTTAATTAAAGCTAGGACCAAATCGTCATGCCCAACAGACCCTTTCGAGATTAGAAGATATAAGATAGTTTAAAACCATAAAAACTCTATAGTTGACAGCCACGTCAAATGTAAGTAAATCATGGTACATTCAGTAATGGTTTTAGTCATTTATATCACTGTGTATATTGCAAGAAACCTAGTACCATAAGATAGTCTCGCTTTACAACATAGATTCTAGATACCATTAATATATTCAATATACAGGGGAACTGATTACCATAAATAAAATCAACTTGGCTGCTTGGCTTTTAATGTTTTAATAAATCTAAAAATAAATCACAAATGGCTCAATTGCACAATGTGAGAGTTTCAAGCTAGCTAGTCTTTTTTAGATAAAGCTGGTAAACTAGCTTAGTGAGCTTGCCACACTCGTTTGGTTTGATATTAATATTAAAAAGCTGTGTAAAAAGTTAACGCTCCCAGTGATGTTACACACCATGCAATGGCTTTTGAGCAAACCATATCTTAAACTTATCCAAAAGTGATCACCTTACAGCTGTTAGTGAACAATTAAGTAGGATTAGTCTTGCTATGTCACAGGAATTGGTTAATAGCGGGAGTTTGATAGCACTGGCCGAAAAGTCTGCTATCTTACTAAGAGGTTAGTAGCTTGCAAAAATGCTCAGTGTAATTGTGCCTTTTGGGTCATCCAGACTACTGTGACAGCTCTAACGTATATTCCGCCAACTCATAAACCTTGTTTCAAGCTAGAATGTGCTAATCTGGTCAATGTCCCTAGACAACGAGGTGGCCCAGAGTGCCGAGGAGGATGGGGAGGTAGATTCCGAGTCAGCAGAGACGGACGACCAGAGAGACAAGAGGTTCTCGAGCGGAGCCGCAGGCGCAGGATCTGGTGGTGGCTCCGGGAACTTCCTCTTTGATATCATCCGGGTTAGTACATGCCTTGCCACTCACTATCCTTGGCAACTGATTGAGGGTCAGGGATTTGTAATAAACCAAGGTATCCAGTGAGGCAGATGATGAAATCCAAAATTTATGTTTGGTATTTTTTGTGAGTATGTTAAGCTTTGTGGTCTTGAAAGATAACCATAAACCAAAAACAATGACAATGTTAGACAATGACCAGCTGACAAAAACAATTATTCATATGATTGCAATGCTATAAAAAGTCAATAATTTGACAAAAACTATTATTTATATGATTGCAATGTTATAAAAAGTCAATAATTAAAAATGTTAAGTCCCATTTAAGCTTTTTTTTCTGAATATTTTTAGAATGACAATCTTCTATGAATAAATGGGCTTAGTGTTATTTGCAAAAGTGGATTCAGTAGAACTTGGTGGAATTAAGATCCTTACGGTGATCAAAAGAGTAGTAAGTAAAATAAGTTTTTTTATTAGTTTTGGTTATAGATACACCCTTACAGCACTATCAATAAAAAATATGCATTAAAAATGTTTATTTCACCATGATCTACTGAAATGAAAAATTACCTAAATGCAAAGCTAATAATATAGGCTACGACTATAAAATCTCCAAAAAGTAATCTCCATTTCATAAAATCTAATCAAACGTATCTAAGTCTACTATGGAATTTTGGATACTGGGGTCTCCTATCTATATGGACCAGCTGTAGCCAATCAAACAGAACAAATAGTTTTGCTGGGAAAATAATATTCCCTCCTTTAGTTTTTTATAGGTACTATATAGTATTTGATGGGACATAGAGTATGACCTATTTTTATTTAACAAAGTCGTTCTATCAGTTCATATCGGTTGAAAAATTTGCGTGTTCAACAGGAATGAGTAATTTACATCGGCATACAGTAGACACCCTCTTATCCGGACACCTTTTAACCGGACATCGGATTAATCGGACTACACTCGGCGGAAATGACATTTCTTTAACCGGACAATTTTTATCAGCACATCGGTTTAACCAGACCAGATCGGCAGGAAGTGCTGTACTGAACCGACTGTTCGCGTGGGAAAGATTTGAGACCAGTGTCTATATACAATGCTCTCATAAATTTAAGTCAAATATAAGCATCCGGTTTTAACGAGTTTTTGGGGACGTCGGTTTAACCAGAAAAAGCGTTATCCGGACTGGCATCGGTCCCGAGGAGTCCGGATGAGAGGGAGTCTACTGTATTCTCATAGCTGAATTCAACTGAGTCCATTTTACTCATAAAATGGCTAGTGGCTACAGCTTAACACAAGAACAAAATGTCTAAACAGTCAAGATTGTACCCAACTTCTGAAACAGCTTATTGAAACATTTGACACAATAGTGATGTTAAGTGATAATCCCAATGAATGTGTCAGTTTTGTTGATGGTCAAGCGATCGGCGGACCGTGCGGCACGGATGGCCGGGACAGTGTACCGCGTGTTGGCAGGACTGGACGATGTAGGGCTGCCAACCTACCCTCCGATAACTGCCAACAAACACACCAGAGCAGCGGTAACACACTTCACTGACCCTGGTTGGATCCACAACTGTTATGCACAAATTGTCACTAATTTCAAACGGGAAGTTAATAAAAGTATTAGTGAAAATAAATTATATTTTAAATAACAATTACATTTAGAGTCAAAATAGACATTTTTATCTACCTCGAGAATTGAAATAGTTTTTCAATCGATCAGTTTATGCTTTAACTTCCAATTAGACAGATTAATTATTATGAAGTGTTAATGTTTGGAAAACCATGTTTTAAATGCCCAAATGTCAATATTATAAATATTTCCCTCACTTAATTTTTACAACATCTATTGGTTGTACAGTTACAATGAAAATAATCATGGCTTGAAGTTAATTTGTGTTTTATTAATGTTTATCTCAATGAAAATGTAGTATATGTATCTTAAAATTGAAAATGGATAAAAATATAAGGGATTTTCCTTATTCTAACAGCTTATTAATATAAACATAGCATCAATTATTAAAGTTAAGTTTTTTTATACCAAACCAATACTAAATTTTTTTATGCAACAGTTGTGGATCTTACCAAATAAATCTCATATCAAGATTATTGCTTCTGTCACCAATTATCCATATTTATACAATTATCCATAATTGTAAAATTGCAAATGTAAAATCATATTTGAATATTTTAATCAGTGATAAAAAGAGTTTAAAATTTTTGTTACAATTATCATTTAGAGAAACAAACATTCATTATTTATTTTTTAATTATTATCAGTGGACAGAAGCAATAAAAGTGTTATTACTGTTTCATGTTGAAATACTACCCTAGTTTTCTTAAAGAGCGAATGGTTTACAAAATTTGTTCAATATGACATGTATTTTTGCACTTTACAAAAACATTATTTATTTTTAAACACTCATTATCATACTTTTTTTGTATTCTATTTAGACACTTTCAATGCTCTGCTAGTACACTTTCTTTCAGAGTTGAATGTAAGACACATTTTTCTCAAAACAAAATTTTGACTTGCTTTGAATTTGTTTTAGAAAGTGTATACAAAATAGGAAAGATTTAAGAGAGGGCATGCAATTCATCCATCATAATTACTAGTAAAAATTAGAGCTTATTAATCTAGTTTTTAGTTTGTACTTTAGTGGAATAATAACTTAAATAATTAGGTTGTAGTTGAGAAATTGGTTTTAATATGAATATCACAGATTTTTAAATAAAATATAAAAGACATACAAACAAATTATTTGTTTTTTAATCATCAAAATAAGTTTGAAATTTTTATTCTATGCCAATTACATATTTTTGGTTGGATAACACACTTACTCTTAAACAATATCAAGAAAACAATATTATTCTTTGTACATAAAAAAAATACTGATCCTAAATGTTGTTAGATCAAACTACCTTACAGTTTAAAATCTTTATCTAAGGCATCTGCTCTTATTGAAGACAATTTGTTTTTTTTAATAATTTAAAAAAATAAAATTTATAAAAAAAATCAAAATTTTTGTCTTTCTAATAACAATTAAGTGTTCAAACCTTCTTTTGTACAAAACTCTCACATAAAGTTTGTTTCATGTTAATAAAAAATACTTATTGCATTTTGTTTACAGATTTACAATTTTTTTATACCATAATCAACTTTTGCAACAATACTTTTAAAAACTTGATTAAAAGTTTGACTCTTCATTAATTTATTTTATAATAATATCATCTAAGAATAGCCAGACTAAATCTTTAACAACAAACTATTTCATCTGTGATACAACTGCTTTACACTTTAAGTTAGCGCTTAATCTTAACCGCAATGGTGAATTTTACTGAATTATACAGAGTGTCCCGGAACTCTCTAACAACGTTTTAGGACATTGTTGCTGGGTAAGAATTATATGTAAATATCATATTTAAATTGTCCGGAAGTCCTTAGTATAACTCACACAGCCCCCATTTTGTTTTTTCACTCATATTTTTTTTTTTTTTTTTTTTTTTTTTTTTTTTGTTAAACGTACGAAATTGAAACTCTGCAGAAACATTCATGACAACTAGACAAAGCTACAAAAAAATTATGCCAATTTTCCAAATTCATAAAACAAAATGGTGGCCATTTACAATTTTGATTCTTAATAACTCGAGAAACCGTTGATTTTACGGCCATCATTTTGTTTTATGAATTTGGAAAATTGTCATAATGTTTTTGTAGCTTTGTCTAGTTGTCCTAAGTGTTTCCGCATGGTTTCAATTATGTATGTTTAACCATTTTTTTTTTAATTGAGTTTTTTTAATTTTTTTAGTGAAAAAAATGTTGGCTGTGTGAGTAACTAAGGACTTTTGGACAATTTAAATATGAAATTTAGATATGTTTCTTACCCAGTAACAATGCCCTAAAATATTGGTAGAGAGTTCCGGGACACCCTGTGTAACTACCTAACCTGTGATTGTAGATTAGAGTTGTTAGCTTAGAATTTGTCAGGCATACTAACACTAGCCTTGAGAAATAACTTTAGCCTACTGCTTAATGGTTTGGTTTGTGTTTGCATCATGCTTAATCATTCATCTAACATTGTTATTTAATTATTTAGAGCAAAACCCTTTTTAGTTTTTTTTTCTATGATTCCTTGAAAATCCTTAAGAGTCCTTGGAGCGTAGACGTTCTAACTCATAAAACAAAACAAAAAAACTACAAAGCAAATTTCTAATCTCACAGTATACTAGATACTTAAATTACAATCACTTGGTATCTGAAAAAATATTGTGAGGTGGTAAATAACTCTTCAGCCGCTGTTTAAAAATAACAAAATTAGCTCTTATGGCGGGCAAATCTAAAATGGCCTTTGGCTTCCATGAACTTCCTTGGAATACATTCAAAATAGCAAACGACATTTCTTATCTCACAGTATACTAGATATTTACATTATAATCACTTTGGTGTTTGAAAAACTATTTTGGGATGACAATTAACTCTTCAGCAGCTGTTTGAAATTATCCAAGATGGCGGCTAGCCTCCAAGGACTCTTAAGATAGCTCTTCCGTTTTTGTTTCATGACTTCGTAATGTAAACAAAATTTTGTTTAAATTCACTCATATAGTGGTTTTCTATATACACTTTTTTTCAAAAATCTTATTCAAGAACATAAGCACAATAAATAAGGTAATCTAATAATTTATATCCAAGAACCTGGGGTAATAAAAAATATGGACTGTATGAAAATAAAAATCTTGTTTTTGTTTAGACTATATTTGCATATTAATTGGGATATTCAAACAAACTAAAAATTAATGACAATACTCCAATTATAAAAAAATAACCAAAACAACCACATTTTTTTTGTAAATTTCTTCTTGTTTATTTTCGGGGATAGAATGAGAACCTTGTTTGCAGAAATTGTAGAGTAAAATAATCAACACGGAAAATACTATTATTGTTTCTATTTTAAATTAATTCGAGAAAATTTAAGAACTTTAAAGCATGTCATATTAGACTTTCATACTTCACTCATGTCACTAAGCTAGTAGTGCTTTCGTTTTCACTTGTTTTCATTGTAAATTTTTAGATGAAAAAACTTAAACACTTTGAATTAAAATCCGTAAAAGTTTAAGTTCATTATTTATACAATGTTACAAATATAATTTTTTTTTTTTTTGTTATTTCTTTTCAGGGCGACAAAACTTGATCCTATTTATATTAGTACAATATTGTTTTAAATATCTTTCCATACAGATCTTTATTTCATGTTAATTCAAAACTAGCGTCAAACATATATTCATCACGTTTTTTTATAACTATTAAAGACACATTGTAACACCCTCGTCAACTGTCCCATAGATTTCTACATGAAACAGTAAAACACAGTCTTGTAATCATATTAATTATTGTTTAATTTATGTTCTGCTCTGGTGTAGTATGCTTTGTAATTTGTTTTCGTATTTGTTTGTACATAATTTTTCAGCTGTATGTATATCATTAGTCGTAAATCCTAATTTTAAACGTACTCAAGAAGTAAGATTGTAAATAAGCATAAATATTTCCAAGGAAAGAAAAGAGCTTAAATATGATTGAGGTATCATCTCCTAAAACATTTAATTATGTTTTAGACATTGAAAATTATTTTTTCCTATAATAACATCTCACATTATATATAATGTTATCAAACTAAATTTATCTAAGACATTAACAAATGTAAATTACAACAAAATACTCAAAGATTGGCTGTTTTTTAAGAAACAATTAAAATATTTAACACTTTGATTAGTATAGCAATTAAAATATTTGTAAAAAACTAGCTTGATGGCTTAATAGTTTTTACAACTGTCCTTGAAGGCTATGAAAAAAATATTAGAATTAATTTAATTATTTACGTTCAACAACACTTGGTATTTTGTTCTTTCGAAATAAAAATTTTTTTAAATTTACATAATTGTCAGAGAAATTAATTAATAAGTATGGTATGATACAATAGAAAAAGTTGGTTGAGTTACATTCCTTAAAAATCTGCTATAGGATAAACAAAGCTCTCATGAATAAAATAAATTCCATAACCTTTTTTAATTGTTATAAATATAAATGGTTTTACAAATAATTTAAGTATTAGTAGTTTTGAGACCGTATTGAGAACTGTTGTTAATCTTCCTGGTTATGTTATGGGCAAAGGGACGGAGAATAAAATCTGTACCCACTCCCCTGGATAAAAGTCCATAACTAAAATAAAATAAAATATTTCTCCTTTTTAAAATAATTAAAAATATGTTTTCAGTGATTTGTTAAATGTACATAATAAAAGGTGTTAAACACAACAATGGGAACCATGAAATATTATTAAACTCTTAAAACAATTCATGGAGTTTGTTAAGAATACCTATAGGCTCTATTGTTTAATATTGGATTTCTGTTGTATAGGTGTTGCTGACAGAAGATAAAATTGAAAGAGAAAGTATTTTTTAAGTTAATGCTAATGAAAACAATAATAATAATCAATTTTAAATTAGTTTAACATAAGTTAAAACAGTAATATATGTTATATGTATTTTTTAGCGTGTGTGTAAATATGCATAGTCAAAGGATGCTGCAGGAAAGGATATTTCACATGTTTTTTTTAAGTTGTGTACATACTACTTATAACTAACCAGTATTTTCATATTGTCTTTGGGATACAAATCTACTTTTTTGTGCATTAACACTTAATATTTAAGATTTCAAATTGGTTTTTAAGCAGGATAAATTAAAACTCTGTGGTATTATATTTAATAATGGGTCAAGTTGAAGAAGGGATTATTTAGTAGCTTGTATTCTAATTCCAAGAAAATCATGGTAAGTTTACTTAAAAAAACTTTCTAATTGCTCATAAACATGGCAAAGCTAAAAAATACTGATTTTAACAATACATCCACGCAAGATAGCACTTAGGTAAGAGAAACATTTAATGTATTTCTACAACAAGTTTACTTTTTTATTTGTATAATGTAATTAATCAACTGTATTTTTCTGGACTCTTTTGTTGATAAACTTTCATTTTAACAGATATATTTTTGTAAAAGTGGATTGGAAATTGAATTTATTCACTTATGTTTATTTGTGATGGTTATATTCTGGACTCCTTTTTCAAAGTGTTAATTCCAATTACAAATCACAAATTATTGGACAATGTTTTACATCAATATGGATAAATAGTACAACTCAAAAGACATGTTTGACTGAATTTTCAGACAGGAAGTATTTTAAGGTAAAGAAAACTAGGGTAGTATTACAATGTTGTTAAACTATATCTGTTTAAATTAATTTTAGGATTTATTTATCATCACATAATCAAATTATTTGATGGAGGTTTTATCCTTATATTCCAATAAAACAATAATTAAATTGATATTTTTTTGTTGAGTTTACTTTTTGTTTAAACTTTGTTTTATTATGACTTAACTGACATTATTTTAACAATTCTCACTGCTTAAGTATCATACTATACAATATGATAGCAACATTTTAAAGTAGTTTTCTTATGTACAAACTATTTTTTTTTTATTTCAAACTATATCTTAAAATCCATTAATGCAAAAGTTTTGATTCCACCAAAACCTCATGAGAAACTTACTTCAAGTGATTCTAGGATTCTGGAAGAACACCCCAAATTAATCTGAAATGCTTCTAAATCACTCTAACCACTGCACTGCTTTCTTGATTGTCCTCAGCTGGTGGCAGGCAGTGGTACGACCCAGAGTCAAGATGAGGCTGACAACGCACCGTTGGACGAAAACACGACCCACACAGGAGAGGCTAAGCACGACGACGGCTACAGCGCTGGTGTGCCCGGACCTCTTACTCGACTCTTTGTCATAGCCAACCGCGGAATTGCCAATCTCATCCAGGATCTCATTCTTGTAAGTAGTTTGACTCAGGGCTGTATATTGGGGCCGATAATTTTAAAAATTATAATTGAGGGTAATATGAGTAATCGATGTAAATAAATGAATGGAGAACATTGAATGTCAAGGAAAACCAAATACAAAATTGATTTTGATTAGCTTCATCAATATGTATAGGGAATCGGTTAAATTGTCATTTTTGTTTGTAGGCTACAGGGTTTGCTTTAGGGTATTATTAAAAAAATGGAGCACTAGAAAGCATAATGATTTAAAACAAATCACAATATTTAAGTTATAAATTCTTTACAAAGTCTTATTGGATATCAGTTTATTGGAACTATTTAAATTTTGTTCTAAAAATTAATCAAAAATTTTATTTCATTTTGTAATTCTAAGAACAGGTCTTTAGATTCTTGTTTGAAACTGTTTATAAGTTGGTTTCTAACTGGTAAACACTAATTTATTAATTTAACGAATAAATTGTAGAGGTGATGTTATTGCTAAATTATATATAACAATTTAAAGGGACTCCTCAGTACCTTTATAGACACTTAATCTGTTAACCAAATGAAGAAGATAATAACCAAGATTGGAATGATAGAAGAAAATACTAATAATGCATACATTTAGCTGGACTGGTGACTGATGTTCCATGTTATTTTACAGCGTCTAGCGCAAACTAGCGAGAGAATAGTGAACTTCAAGGCTCGTCTGATCACCTCCATCATCTAAACTTCGTCAGTTCGGCTCAGTTACCATGACTTCGGCATACTTGGGGTTTTACTTCGTCGACACGTCAAATGCTCAATCACGCTGCACCAAATATCGCCAACAATCTGCTTGTAGAACAAATCTGTGCTCTAATCTTCCGGAAAGCCGTATTATTTATTTATTTATTACAGTGAACCCCAACAGATGGGAGGGGAGTGGGTACAGATTGTATTCTCTGTGCCTTCGCCCCTTGTTAGGCCGAGATCGATATGTACTGTATTATATACACCGCGCAATGTACATAGACACAACCTGCATATCGAGTAAGACTGATTCCGACGAGTCGACTCTCATTGCTGTTGGAGTAAAATGAAAACTAGCAGTGAGAAATTTTGTAAATTTGAACGAAGGACGATTCCAATTAAAGGTATAACATTTTAAAATATCACATCACATAATTTCTTGTAATTTCCTTTAAAAATCAGTTTTTTTGTGTTGTGACTCATACTCTTCAGCGAATCAATATAATTCAGAAGTCTATTAAATTACTTAACTGATATATTAACCTATTTTCCCATAGAAAAAGAACTGTGTTAAACATTAAGGATTGTATATAAAATTAGTGTGATTTATGACTATATAATTTGTTCAAAATTGCAGAAAACATTCCATTAACCTAGAAATTAAACCTCCATTTGTCCTATTTATTTTTACCTCTTACTAGTAAGCTCTAAATATACTTAGTAATAAAATAAATAATTTTAGTAACTAAGGGAATCAAAAGTTAGTTATAGTTTCATTACTTCTGTACATCAGCATTCATCAATATACCATTTATTTTTTAAATTTCCCTGAAGTGTGAAACTGTTTATAAAGCTTTTATTGTGCACATATGAAAATTTAGAAATAAATTATATGTAAATACGTAAATGTTGTTTTTACTTTCGAAACCTGTTTTTACTTTTAAGCATTTTTGTTAAGAGATATTCTTTACGACTATTAAATTTTTTGTTTAACATTTAAAATAACATAAATTGAAAATTACGATTCCAGCAAGGGTCTTTAGGGTTTGAAATTACAATAAATATTAAAGAGATTAAAATCAATAATTTACTGAAATGAGCTATGAGCTAATGAACTACAGTAGAGTAGACTCCCTCTTATCCGGACTCCTCGGGACCAAGGCCAGTCTGGATAACGGTTTTTTCGGTTAAACCAACGTCTCCAAAAACTTGTTATGTAACCCAAATATTTGACTTAAATTTAGGAGGGCATTGTATTTAGACATGTGATCACTGGTCTCAAATCTTTCCCACGAGAACAGTCGTTTCAGTACAGCCCACTTCCTGCGGTCCAGTTAAACCAATGTGCAGATAAGAATTGTCCAGTTACAGAGATGTTATTTCCGCAGAAAGTAGCCTGGTTAAACCGATGTCCGGTTAAAAGGTATTCGGATAAGAGGGAGTCTACTGTACTGTATAAGAAATTCTCAACATGAATGTTTAAATATTAGGATAGTGTGATTTCTTAAATCAAACAGATAAATAGCTCAATGGCATTGTCTCATATTAAGTATATTAAATGAAAATGTGCCACAATAAATTTAAAATTTAAAAATGAAAATATACAAAAATCCATGTGTAAAGACTTGTAATTTTTTTCTGGGCGATGAAATAAATTACCACCCTAATTATTGCAGGTCACCAGGAATGAGTAACAGATACCGCAAGAACAATTTACAGTATTTTAATATATAGTTTATGGTTTATACAAATGTTATACACATAATAAATCTATAATAAGAAAAACACAGGTAGAATATAGGAAATAAAACTTACATAGATAATATTTTACATGTGGACACTTGAACTTAAAAACATTGGCCCCAGGTAAATCCGCACAGCATTGAGATCATGATGTAGATGATGATCTGTGAACAAACCATGTATAAGTTGATGGCTTAAAATTGAAATAAAGGAGTTTTATGAAATGCATGTTGGGGACTATACTACAGGACCTCAGCCATTTGAAAATGTAATATCATTTACAAAATTATTTCAGTCCCAGAGAGTTGGTTTGATTCCTGGAGTTTTCCGAGATATTTTATGGAAAACAGATTCATTGTTATGCCCCTGAGCTGGATATAATTATTATAATACTTACATACGTCATTAGCTCAAAATATTTTATGGTAATTCTCAGTACATGTTTCGACACTGTCATCTTCAGCCAAGCACTAGTGTAGAGTTTTCCACCAAATGGCTTCGTCATAGTTCATTTAACACAAAAGGACACGAACTCTTAGACATTAAAAAAAAAAAATTATTAAACACATAGACAATGATGCAGGCCTGCTGGGACGAGCATAGACGCGCCGCGAGTTTGGGAGAGACTGACTCAAGGTAATTGAGTTCAATGAACTATGACGAAGCCATTTGGTGGAAAACTCTTCAAGTAACAAGTAAAATGATAAAAAATTCAGTACAAAACCTAGATTAAAATACTTATTTTATGTATCATCAGTAGATATGTAAAATGTATATAATAATTGTGGATTTCAAATACTTACTGCGAAAACAACTCCAAAAATAACATAGAGCTTTATATTTTTCCAGAACAAAGATCGTTGCAAGTTTCGACTTTGAGTCCTGAAGGTCACAGAACTTGCACTCAAGTTTTCTGTTTTATTTACTAACAGTTCTAATCTCTCTCCCCTCATAGCGACATTGTCTGAAACAAAAATTGACTATTTAACATCAATATCATGACTTTTTTTCTATAAATCTACATACTTAAAACAATAAGGGTTTTCCCTGTAACATCCCTTTTCAGCCGTTCTGCTTAACTGGTTTTTACAATTGATGTGTCATTTTAAAGCTTATGCCAAAGGGCACCTGCGAATGGTAATTAAAAAGGTAATTTCCTATAGGGCTTCACCCTCCTCACATTTAATTTATTTCTTAAGTCAATTTCAAAGATCAAGTTATGCTGACCAACTTTCTGACCAACTTTGACCAACGGTTTAAATCTGAATTTTAATTTAAGAACTGTTCCTTCAGTTGTATGTTTAATCCCAGTCAGATTGTAAACAGGAAACTAAACAGCTTATGAAAATGTATTTGAAAATAACATTTTGACAGCTGTAACCTGATTGAGGTATTAAAATAATTCTTTATATTTATAGTAAAGATCTAAAATACGAACAAACTGTAAATTAGTAGTTATTTTAACCTAATAACTTTTTTAAACAACAAACATGATTTTGAAAAGATAAAAGGGTATTAAGGATTTTTTGCCTCGTAAACAAGTTTAGGACCATATAAAACATCGCAATTTGCACACGGGTCCCCTCGTCATGACTTATTTCTCATCATCTGGATTATTGCAATGATTGAAATAGTTCTTTTGTATAGAAATGTTGTGTCACTATATAAATATAAGGCTGGTAAGCAACAATCACAGACCAATAATGAAAACTCGGATGGATTTAAAATATTCGACGATAGCTTTTGTTTTAGTTCATATGGTAGGGAAATCTAGAGTTCTCAAGGGCCAAATAACCAAGAGGCAGTGGTGAGGGCTTGGTTGGGGGGGGATTTTGTAATAGTAAAAACAAATTTAAAATAACTTATGCTTTTTTTTCTTGCAAAAACAAAATTATGTAAATAGAGACAATCCAGTTACCGATTTTATTGGACACTCTTAAAGAAACATGAAAAATAAGTTTCCAAGTAGTACTCATGGATTTAGACTCTTCATTTCACGCAATGTGGAATTACTGTTAATGTATCTTTGTTTTTTAGTTATGATTTTTCATACCTAAAAACTAATATTTATTTTAATATCAGAAAACATAAATTTGTTCACAACTCACGGTTAATTCAACGTGGCGTGGCATGATACCACATTGCCAAGCAGGGTATGTAACTTTGCTGTCGGCAGGAAATAATTTTATGGTTAGCCTCTAAGACTATTATTTGTTTCTTATAACTAAACCAAATTTCACAGCCAAAGCCCATAAACTTACCGATATTACGAACCATGATGTCTTTTAACTCATCCAGTTCCCCATGCACTCTTGATATTGTGTCAATGTCACGAGATTCTGAATAATGTTTCTGAAAAATTTACAGATACACTTTATAAAGGTTGGTTGTGGTTCAATGTTGAGTTCGCATGTTCAACTCATTTTATGCTAGGTAAAACCAATTAATAAAAACTTATAAGAAACGCAAGGCTTTTGTTAAAAATTCAGTCTAGGAATATATTGTTATTTTAGTTAGTTCCTGGGGCGGCTGCTAGGTAGACTATCAGGAGAGCGTGGCCAAGTCAGCTGACTGAGTGAGAGAGAGGGAGACAAAGAATCGGCTTAGAAGAGAGAGATAGAGTAGCGCGGCCGCCGGGCGAGTGATCATAGCAGCGGCTGCACTAAGCTCATTTGGATGGCAAAATTCCAGTTTGACGGTTCTCCATTTAAGCATTTCGCTTCTTAGAGGGTTTGTATTCATTGGTAAAACTGCAGATTGTAGTTATTTTTCTGTCTGCCAGAGTCAATCATGAACTTTGTTGAAGCTACCGGTGTTACCATGGCTTTTTTCTAATACAAAGCCGCTACAAGACAAAAGTGACAACACCGCAGTACTGGCCTACTGAAACAGCTGAAACACTAATACTTCCAAAATGAAGCGTCCACCCTATGTTTATGTTTACATGTTTGTTATTGCCATGGCAATAGGCCAGTCGGTAAGACGTCACACACACCAACGCTGCAGCTTTGTTATAGAGCAGGCTATGGTGTTACTATAGAATTGATTCGCAGTAGATTAACTACAGATGTTTCTTGCTGCAGACAGTTAACCACATATTCTCATCAGAACAGCAAGCTGGTTAAAATTATATTCAACCTATCAAACTGTGCAACAACTGTAAATAAATTATGCTACAATCGATCGATCAAACAGTGGTGAGTTGGTGGTTCGGTTAATAGCGCTAAATGAAATCAAAACAGCAATGTTATGGTTTCACATGTTCTTATTGTTGTCGCTGCCATTTAAATGTTTTTTTAAGCTTCATTCTTGTACTGAACCAGCTCACCCCTTGTTTGGCTTGATACATTCCACGCACATGCCCATATGTGAGGCAAATTCAAGAGTAAAATACCCCTGCCGCAGCCAACCTGCAGATAAAGCGAATTTATTTCCCTGATTTGATTTTGCCTTAAATCTTTTTAAATAACATTAGGTTTAACGAATACTTAAGTTTGCTGCCACAGGGAGGGTAAAAATGTGTGGTTTTTAATAAAAAATTAATAGCTTAGTATAAAAAAATTTTCTCTGTAACCAATAACCGTACAAAAATACTTCAATATATACTAAATTATTTGCATTTTTAAACTCTAAAAAATGGTTTGGAAAGAAATTGCTATGTTTTTTATGGTCAAAAAGAGGAAAATCAATTTTTAACCCATAAACCCTCATTCCCATGGTCTTTTATGCTGGTTCGTGAATTTGTTTAAATAAATGTAGGTTTACACGTCTGTACCAAATTTAATCAAAATCTAATGATTTTTGCTTGAGTTATCATGCTAACAGACACATTTATATATTTTCTGAATTTGAATGGATGGTGTTTTTGCCTCTGGGGAGTTCAAAACGAAAAAGTTAATGCCCCAGGTCCAGGTCAGGTCCCCCAATAGGTCTCCCTATAATAAGTCACCCGGTAATAGGTTTCCCTATAGTGAAATTCACTTAAGGACCACCAATATCTTAAACAAAGGTAAACCTATATTTGTTAAACTTTTACTTGAGAGGCCAATTCATCATGAAAATTGACCAAGGATTGTAAGCAACAATCACCTGCACATTGTGAATGTGGTCACATAAATGTACTTCTTTCGCCAACATAACACTATGGCTGGATTTCCCAAATACACTAGATTTCCTTTAAATCGATACTTCAACACATAGTGATGGCAGCCAAATAAATGAACACACTAAATAATAATATGTGATCAAATAAAACTTACTAACCATTTCATTGTTGAGTATTGGTGAAAATTCAGTGTTCATTGCGTAAGCAATGGCAGTCTCACTTCGGCTCCCATATGTCGAGCGAAATCTTCGTTTTATTTCATTCAGGTACAAAAAGGCTCTTGATCTTTCAAATTCCTGGAAGGAGACACATTTTTGATACAGGTAAGTAGGTGATATAGCACATATGATTTAAAAAAAAATAAAATTTATAACTATCACAACTCCAGTTTGAACAGGCCCTTCCATTAAAGATTTTTTTTTACAAATGTTTTTGTCACCACAATTTTAGTTGATTAAATTATATTTATAGGCTAATGAATATCTCACCAATATAGTAATCAATATATTTTACCACTTTGGAAAGTGATACAAACATAGTGATTCGACCTATACAGAGATGAAGGGGAAGGAAAGGAAGTATTGATATCAGTTTCAAGGCAAGAGGGAGGTCAACGACAGCAGGTCTAGCTGTGAAAGGTTATGTAACCAGAGGAAACTGAACCAGACTATGTGGTTGCCAATGAATTTCAATTTTATAAGAAACCAAAGTCTGGTGAGAAATATTACTTCTATTGGTCACAAGGAGAGCATTTTGGTTGATTAGAAAGGTTTTATTTATTTATATTTGTTGGAACAGGTATATTTTATTGGTATTATTTTAGATTGTTGACTTCATGATTTTGTCTATTCATTTGGTTACATTTTGAATAAATTATTACCAATTTAATTGTTATGGCAGGTAGTAGAGTGTTTTGATTTAAAACTATTTTGGATTACAGCTAACTTAATTTGCAAATGGTTTTTGTTCAAATTTGTCAATACAGTAGAGTCCCGCAAACTTGGCGTAATGTGGACTGGAAGGGTGCCGAGTTTGTGAAATGCCGGGTAACCGGGAACTAGGGTTAAAAATAAGAACAATAGAATTTTTAAGCTTTTTAACCTGCTTTTTTATTTATATTTATATTACAAGTCAGTATTAAGTCGTCAGATATAGTACAACAAATCCTTGGTACGAGTTGCGAACGATTTGACTTGAACTGGCTTGAGTCCATGTTTTACTTGGACTCAAAAAATCACTAATTTTCTGAGCCAGGTGATGGCCGAGTTATACAGACCGGGTTATTGAGTGCCGAGTTTGCGGGACTCTACTGTACACGGATCTTTTATATCTCATTTATAAGCATTTGTAATTTTTATTATAAAGACCAATGGCCCTTCCTGTGAAACCTGTATATTACACAATACTTATATTATTATTATTATATTATATTATTAGGTGGCTTCCATCCGGCAGCCTGAAGTTAAATTCAATGGCGGATTATATGGATTGAAATATAGTTCGGGATTAAACATGCCTCTATTGTACAAGCTCTCAACATTCTAAAGCTAATTTGTTTTTAAAGATTGTGTGCATTTTGTGCTCTTAACATATCAGAGCTTGCAAGGGATGGAGAAAAATTAATTTTTAACTATTATTATTATTTAAGAGTTAAAATCACATGTGAAAAAGACTAATTAACGGATTTTGAAAATTATTTTTTAAATACTTAAAGAAACATGGAGTTTTAGTTTATCCAGTGCATAGTTTGGATATTTGTGAATATTTTAAAGTTTATTTCAACTCGATAAACACATTAATAATGCCATGAGGTTCTTTTTTGTAGGATCAAGTTTTACATGGTAACCAGCCGGCAGGTGGAACCCTCTTAAAAAGATATAAAAAATAAATTAACTTAATCTTCAGGGATAAATGGAGTATACCTCAGATTCAAGACTGGAACAATTTGTTTGGGAATTTTTTTTATTGGAATCAACTCTGAGACAAACAATTTTTACCTACTCATATTAGGCCTAAGCATTCACTACCTACAATATTTTTTTAAACATAAAATACTTCATAATAAACTTTAGGTTATGTTATTTGGGGAAATCATATTCCTTCACAGGGCTAATATTCAGGGCAGTAAACCACTAAAAGTTCTCCTTCAACTGTCATACAGAATATACAATTCTCCAGAAACAGTGGCAGGTACTTCAGTATTAAACGGAGGCCACATTTTGTCAGCGCGCTGCGGCGGTTATGTTAGGTTGGGTTATCATAATAGAAAGTATCGTTCGATTCATAACGAAGCGAGGAAAGTCCTACACACATAATATTTACGATAACCCAACCTAACATAACCGCCGCAGCGCGCTGACAAAATGTGGCCTCCGTTTAATACTGAAGTACCCAGTGGCACTACTCGAATACTCTAAACACTAAGCAGTCACTCATCGACTATGTGCTCCGAAGTTTTAGACTCATGCTCATGGTAAATGGTTTGTTAAGAAATATAAATCTTACATCATCAGTGATGCACATGTAGATGATTCTATCTTCGCAAATGTAATGGAACAAGTATTTTCCATGTGACAGAGTGAGTTTTCCATTTTCAGGAGGTATTTTGGTCAGTATCTGGTCGGTCACTTCAGCAAAGTTGCCGGGACAAGACGCATACTTGGCCAACACTGTAGTCCCTCTAGCCACAACACTGTAAAGGATGGGCATTTTGGAATCTGCAAACAATACTGTTGTTAGTAAAAAATGTACAGAACAATGCCGTAGAAACGTCGCATGCAAAGATATACAAATGGCAAGTGCAACAGATTATATTCAAAATTGGATGATCGCGACATCCGTACTGCGATAGGGAAGTTCTTGTTGGCAATTAATATTTTCTATTTTTCCATCCTTTAAAAATTAATTTAACACTCAGTAGCCTGCCTAAACGATGTAAATTAAACTCAATGACAGCTTTGTTTTGTTTGACTACTTATTTATTGCTATAATCCCTTGAGAATCTTCTTACAACCAACCATACTACTATAATATTTGATGAACGGCAAAAACAATAAGTTTTTGTATCAATTTAAGTTCTATTTTCATTGACTGAACTTGTGTGAATAAGATATGAATAAGGTCGCCGGTTCGATCCTGAGAAAAGTCAGTAGCTTTTTAATGGTTCGAAACTGGACCCAGCCGTTCCTGATCATTGGGCTTTAAATAAATGATCCTGGCTAATGAAACAGCTGATCTTAGTCAGTAACAAAGCTACACAGATCATCTCACACCATTCTACACTCATCCTTCACTCATATTTGGGTTAAAATACGCACATAAGTGGCGTCCCCATCTTAATGATTGATAATTGATAAAAATTGATTTATTACCAATTTAATTAAATGAAGTATTTTGGTGACTTACATCAACTATTATAATAGTTAGTTTTATTTTGAGTATCTCTTTACATCTTTATTCCTCCTAATAGCATTGGAGCTGAAATTTAAATAAAGCGAAGTGCTGTAACCGCCATATGAGTTGTGTATAACTCACAACCAATGTATTGATAAGAATATCGGAGAATATCTAGAGTCTATATAAGAGTTATTCAGTAAAATCTTGATTTCAGTTGACAATATTGAACAAACAAGTTAACAGTCAAATTTAAGGCCAGAAGTCCCACTGAAAATTCTAAATGCTTAGCTATGTATTATTTTGAGAAATTTTAATCTTTATTATCTGTATCAACTCTACTTGAAACAATGTACAAACTAACTCATAATTTTTTCTACTTTTGGAAATCACGTGTTTTCGGTATTTTTTTATGTTATATCTTGTCATAGTTTTTAATGTAACCAATACGCCCAAGGCCCATTTTTAACCAAAATAAAAGCAAAAAAAGTGTGTCCTCCTCCTCTATACTAATGTAAAGAGTAGTAAAACAGGTGTTGTGTGTGCAATCCCTATTAAACTCAATAATGACATTACTTCCACCCAAGCCGGACACCGTTTAAGGTGGGCCTCTTCCGCCAGCTTAGCCACACATTACTTAGCTTAGTCAGGATTGCACACGTACGGGATTCGAACCCGCGCATGTAGAAAGACCTCAGCGCTACACTCGTCAGTGCCTTAACCGACTGAGCTACCATGCCACCATCAGCCGTCCAAGTAGTTTGCTGTTATAAGCAAGCACACAACAACACAAGCGCTCCTAGGTCTGATTCAACGAACTAGTTGATCGCCAGTGAGTTACACTACTTGATCGCCAGTGAGTTATAGTACGACTGCTACTATTAATCATGCACTGTAGGGGGATTGTACAAGACAGACAAAACCGAATGATGTTTAGATCGTCAAAAATGTGTGTCTAGCTTGAAAGTTTTTCCTACATGAAATATGTAGGTTACATCAAGTTGTTGTGTTTTTCTTGTAGAGGAAGATCTAAATTAAATTTGAGTACAAAAAACGAAATTCCATTTTTTCCCGAGATTTTTGACAATTTTCAGTGGGACCTCTCCTTAAGTTATTTACATCTATAAACCTCAATGTGTGAATATAATGCATTTTATATGTAGATGCAAACTTAGACAAGATGATTTTGAATTAATCGGCTTGAGTTCAATAACATCCCTACTGAAATTTCAAAGATTGCACTTAATAAAATGTGATTCACCAAACTCAGGTTCTATTTTGCCATAGGGACTAGTGTTGGAAATAATAATGTAAGTTACTTAACAAATTAGATAACAATAAATGAGGTTTACCAGCGTAATAATTATCCTTACTGGGACAGTCATACAATCCAGGCTATTTTATGAGAATCAGATACCGCTTGAATATTGTTAGGGTACGTGTTTATGAACAGGCATTGGGTAGGAAGTATTGAGTGGAAAACATTGTTTATCTGCATTGACTCACACATGATAAGAAGACACATGTTGACTCTGACAATCAGAACTGGTCTACTACAACTCATGCACAGTTAGTTATGAAGTTATGTAAATGAATCACTAGTTACCATTGCCTTGCAATACTAATACTACTAAATGTAAAATTTTAATTTAAATACTGCAAAACTGAAACATACTTTTCTCTCAAGCAGACATATATATTTAACTAGTATTTCTCGTATAACAAATAAATTTCATGAAATCTCTTACAAAATAAATGAAAGTATCAATATGAAGTTGAAATAACAGAATGTTATTTTTAATTAATGAAAGGTTTTGAGATTTAGCCTATTCAATTTTATCTTTTTTTCTTTTTAAGTAAAACAATCTGATATTACCTTCCAATCCATTACCTTAATACCAGTGGCATTTTTTTACGTTTTGAAAGGGAACGGTCCAAACCCTGGTCCTGTTACTACTTAACATCGACCTTTTTGTTAGATAGCATCATAATTAAAATATGGGCCCAATGATAAATGGCATCTGGCTCTGGAAACAATGTTCAAGACATGAATTTTTCCACTGTATATTCTTGCAAAGTGTTTCTTAAGTTACCCTACCATAAATTAACTTTTTTATACCATGAGGCGTTGAATGAAAGTGGGATGAATATAATAGATTTCAAGAACAAATGTTAGCCTAAGTACATTAGTAACTTATAGTAACGCTTGTTTAGTTGCTTACTTTTTTGTATCTTTACGCTATGAAACGTTATTCAGGGTTGCCACCATAGTGAGATGAAAAAATCATGCAGAATTCATGGTTTACATTGGTGGTTAAAAAAAAAATCATGGTCAAAGCGCTCATATAATTTCAACACGATTGAGTTTTGCTGATTTCATAATTTACGTTAAAAAGGCAGTTTCTTTTTGTATTACTATTGAATAACCTTTCATACATGAAATTCAACTATTATAGAGTGAATTATACATTCAAAACAAAGTTGAAAACAAAACAGGGCCAGCTATTCTAAATGACATATTGGAGAAGAATTGTAATAGTATATTTCGTACCTAGGGCCGAAAATGAGGTTTTGCCGGCTCGAGATAGTTTTTAAGTTCGAGACGAAGTCGAGAACTTAAATCGATCGAGAGCTGCAATACCATTTCGGTCCGTGGTACGAACGCTATTTTTCACCACACTATCGATCGAGAGCTGCAAAACCATTTCGGTCCGTGGTACGAACGCTATTTTTCACCACACTATACCCTATTACCACTATTCACCACTATAATGCACACTGATAGTCAACACAACTACAACTTTAAGGTTATGTGAAGAAATAATTTGAGGAATCAGCAAAAATAAAAATAAATAGTTGCTAGGCAACGGTGACAATAACACAATTTTATTGCATTGCTATGGATTTTGATTGTGTATTTAAAATGCATTCATGTTTTAAGTAAGTAAGCGGACAGCTGATTTTGCGGCCCCAGGCTGTAAAAACCTGCTCGGTCCCCAAATTACGATGACAGCTGGCATGGCAAGCAAAACGTAACTTTCAGCCACCAATTAACGTATGTAATACAGCCAAAAACATCATAGTGTGGTGAAAAATATATTTTAGTTTAGGTCTAATTCAGTCTTTCCACCGGAATAAAACAAAGATCCTGCACACCTGGGCAAAAATTCCTTTTCTATACCTCCACATGAATGTCACAAAATATATTGTATGTATACTGGTTTTATCTTTATCTTATTACACAACGTACTAAGATTTGATTGGTTTTATCTAAAAAACTAAAAAAATGAGGCGTCAGAGTCAGAATTTCCGCTTTATTGCACTCTCTGTCCAATTCCGTGCATGGTCTTAAACTTCTGTTTTTGTGATTAAAGTACCCATATCCCTTTATCCATACGCGGGGGTTGGCCTACTAATGATTTTTTGAACCATATAAAGCTCTCGGAAAGACTCAGCTGACATCAGCATCTAACCTAGATTGACTTGGAATGAACTAAGCAATTGTTTCTGATTGTGGAAAATGTTAAATAATCATCTTCAGGCAGTATTTTCTCTTAGTGTTGGTTTCTATGAGCTGTTTTTAATTGTGAAATATTTTTTATTTGGCAAATTGAATGGTACTGGTTGAATAATTGGTCCTGATTTTGAAAATTCATGGTCCAAGGGAGAAATCCATGCCTTTTTTCATGGTCACAGGAATTCATGCATAATTCAAGCTTTTCAAGGTTTTCATGGCTGGTGGCAACCCTGTTATTGCTTGAATGGATATTATTGTCAGAAGATGTGTGCAAGCAAAACTTAAGTAGCCTGAAGCCTATTTAATAAATATAATAAAAAGATTCCAAATAAATTCTTTTGACTGTTTTAAGAAAGTTTTAACCCCTTTATGGATATCTATTTAATATTCCAATGGTACAAGCTTTGATCAGATTATTTGTCTACATCTTGACAGCACAACATTCCAAAATTGTTTATAAAACAAACTTGCGGTGAACATACATTAAGCCTACATATAAAGAGGAAGGATGGGTAAAATAGAATAGGCCTACCGGTATACAAAATAATAATAACCGCACAGTAGTAAAATGACTGATTAGAGGTTCATTAAGTGTCCGATCCTATCGACTTCCACCCAACCACCGCTTACTTATACGTTCAAATGGGCCTCTTGGACAGTGACGTACCGACGGGGGGGCGGTCCGCCCCAGGCCCCACAACAACATAGGCCCCCAAATCAGGGCCGTATTCCCCTAACTTCGAACACGGCCATTGCCGAGGGTTTCTTGGCCTAGGAAGGGGCCTTACTTGGGTCTCAAAAATTTTA